CACGTAACACAAACACTTGCAGGTCGCGCGCTTAGCGCGGGAAGTCCGCAGCGGAGCTGTTTTATGTAGAAGCGAAGCAATTCTTTTCTTTTAATCTAAAAAGCGAACTATTCAGTCAGACAGCAATTTATTGTAAAAGTAAAGCATTTACATTTTCAAGCACTTTATCTCAATTTCAAGCACCATTTCCAAAATTCAAGCACTTTCCTAACCTTGAAAACACCACGTCAAATGTCAAGCATTTTCAAGGATTTCAAGCACCCGTACGAACCCTGAGTAGTACAGTTAAAACCTTAACGATCCGAATAATCGATGAATCGATAGATTCATCGATTATCAAATTAGTCGTGTGTTGCAGCCCTAGTGATGACACGTGGTGACACCAATGTGCAATAGGGTCTGTGACGAATTCATTAAGAACATTGTAAGAGCAACTAACGTTACCAACTTTGACACCGATTTAGATTAGGTCTAATTTGATTAGACAATGTCATGAAACCACCAAGCACCTAGCACAAGAAACATTCATTAGCTAGCTAACATCAGCTAACCTACTAGTAAGTTAGTTAGACCATGGCGTCAGAATTCAAACTTAGCAGCAATGCTAAGCTAACTAGCTTATACCAATGGCAATTATACCAGTCTTACCGGTTAAAGTATTCATTGTTCGCTCTTTCATTCGAATACAGCATAAGCCTTCTGCCAACAAATGGAACAGTCAGCAACAGTTGGCTGGCTAGCACCAGAGCCATCTACCATAGCCATATACGGCGCTGGCTAGCACTAGCTAGGCTAACGTTAAGGCCACCTGCTTGAAGGTGGACATGGCTGCTATCAAGCTAATGTTACTAGCTAACGCTAGCTATCTATTCGCTACCATGTACAAACCAACACGACACTACTCCACTGGCGTTCACAATCGAAAGCACATAATATCCACCACTAATCCACATTATGGGCAGTACTTACTTGCTGTTTACCGATGGTAACCGCTTTGGAGAAACTCACAGATGTTCACCTTGACTGTTGCCTCCGTGCGAATTTTCGAAAGGATCGAGGCTTTGGGTTCCTCAATGCGCGATATGATTGGCCGTTCGAGCGATGACGTTCCGTTTCGTCCCTTCAAACGTGACACCTACGGTTAACAGGCAAACCAGTGGACAAATATCCAGAAATGACGTTTTTTCTGGCGTGTATGTCACGTGATCTTCAACTTTCTCAGCAGAATAAAATAAATATAAATATATCAGCAATTAAACAACATATTCCATTTCTTTTCACACAATACGTCTCCTTTCAGTATCAACACTAATTCGGCTGACTTATATATTTGATCCAATTGGTAGATAGGGACACCTAGTGGTTAAAGCACGTTATTGAAATGTTTTGTTGAATAATCTTTCATCTTTAATAACCTGACTTTGGAAAGGGCTGGAAAGATACTTTTTTCACCAGGGGCCTCTAAATAGGGCCCAGATAAGAAATATGAAATATGGGAACCGTAACTCACCCAGACATTTTTTTTTTCAATCTAATGTCAAACTCTCACAAAATCCTGTCTAGAGCTAAAGATTGGACACCCTTTGGTGAGGGAGGGAGAGAAAATTGAAAACAATTGAAAAAAGGTGCTTGGCGCTTCGAGACTTTGAGAGTGTGTTGCTTCACTTGTGTGGAACCCGCTTGCAAAATTTGGGGCCGCGGTGACCTTCAACCAAGTCTCAAACTAAGGTTAAAGGTCATGTTTTCATGGCTCTCAGTACTCTAGACGGCACAAAGGAAGGTCCGACAGCTTTGAGCTTGGTGTCGTTGGAATCGCCTCGAAGAGTACATGCAGATTCATCCCTCTGCTGCTCCGAATGTCAAACGTTACGGCTTAAAACGGGACAAAGCCTTCCATTATGCCGCTTTCACTCTCGCTCTTGTGGTGACAGAGCACGCCAATTTTCCCGCATGCTAGGCAGACAAGAGTATTCTAGTTAGCTTTGGTTTGATGTGGAGATGTGATTTGATGTGTCGTTTGTCCCCCAACTCCTCTCCAAAGTTGAGATATGTAATAAAATACTCAGGGGAGTTTCCTGAATTTTCATGCCGAAAGCCAAGCACTAGGCCCTGGGTAAATTAAGACGCTGATTTGGGGCACTTTTTCCACTTTCCCTGGTGCTAGAAACTCAAGTCAGGCATCCCTGGAATCGTTGTAAAAATACATTTCTAGCTAAACGTAATTGAGAATGCAGTTTAGTTCTGTGGGAACGTAATTTTTAGGAGACAGGGTTGCCAGGACACACGCCGATTAGAATAGTCTATTCTGCACATGTGCAATAGTGCACAATTCAAATTTTACAGTAATGAGTTGTGCTCTTTATATACAGTCTATCATGGTTGTGCTAAGATGATTTTGAGTACAGTGCTTTACTGTGAAATAATAGTTAAATAATGTGAAATCCAATTCTACTGTTTTATAGATATTTTGTTGTGATATTACAGGGGCTTTTGATTACAATATTTCTCTGTAATATGATACTCTTAAATGCTGTGAAATCCTTGCAATTTTTACAATGTTGTTGTGATATTACAACATTTGATGTGATATTACAGAGGATTTTGATTGCAGTATTTTATTGTGAAATAATAGTTAAATGCTGTGAAATCACAAGGATACAGTCCTTTTTACATGTATTTGTTGGGATATTACAGGGGGCCTTGATTACAATATGTCACTGTAAAATAATACTGTTAAATGTTGTGAAATGCTGGTAATTGTTTACAGTGTAGACTTAACAAAGTATCTCGGGGCTTTTGTCTTAAAAGCCACAAGGAGATGGCCATTTTTCATTTAGTGTGTTTCTTTTGTGTGTTGTTTGCCCTTTTTACGATTTGAAATCAATCTTAAGTGGCTTCAGACCATTTTGGACAAAGGTCTACCAGCTTGCAACATAAGACAACATTTCTGCTCAAAATATGATCTTGTGCTATATTAAGGTGAGGAGTAACATTGATTATGCAAACTCTCAAACAAGGAGCATTTTGAACTGAAAATGTTGTGATTTTAAAGAACATCATCTGCTTGTAGAAGTTATTGATAAAGCATATGTAAAAGAACCTTGGGTGTGCGTGACAACCTTGGGTGTGCGTGACAACCTTGGGATCTCGTGACCTGAAGAAGTGAATTCTTACCCTTTCGGTTTTCCAGGCCTTCTGTTTTCCTTGTACTCCAGCCAACCTGCCATTTGAGCCCTGAGTTTCACTCACATTTTTTAAATTGCTAAGCTTGCGCTCTTCTGTGGAACGCTGTGTTTGCCGCTAACAGGAAATACTTATTTAAAGGCTTAAGAATTGTTGGCAAATACATAAACAGGGCAGGGTTTCCGTTAGCCGGTAATTACCGGTTTTTAGCTGGTAAAATGTATTAAAAACCGGTAAATTAAAAACCTGCCGGTCAAAATGTCTGGTAATAATTAGGGATGCTCCGATAGATCGGCCACCGGTCATTATCGGCCGATATTCACTGTTAATAGTTTGATCGGTGCTCTCTATAAAGCCCGATCAGGAGAGCTGGATCTGATCGATATGGACATAAACGCGAGTGAAGTATAACCGGACACGCGAGAGAGATCAGATCAGCTGCTGAGTCTGACAGAGACACGCAGCTCTGCATAATCACCTGAAGCCCCGCCTCTGTTTAGCTGCATGAGAAACTGACGGGCTGTCAGAGAGAGAGGGAGGGAGAGGGGAAAAGAGAGGATCCGTTTCTCCCGTGTGATTATTCAAAGTTAATGTAAACTTTTGAATAATGTACTTCATCTGCTACAAGTAGTTTGTTTGAATGTAATAATTATGTTGTTTGTGGAATCATTTATTGAAAAATGAATCTGAATTGTTTCGATCTGTTACGATTATAAACTGAAGCAATATAAAAATGAGCCCCGTGAACTGAGTTTTAAACATCAGCATATCTGCTCATAGTCCGGTAATGACCTGCTAACGGAAACTCTGCTACACCATTCTTATTATTATTATTGAAATATGACCGGTAAGTTTCAAATGTATCCGGTAAAATAAATTCTGCCCGGACATTTGACCGGCGAGAAAAAATCCTAGCGGAAACCCTGAAACAGGGATACACTTGGTTTACTGTTATGATCATTTTAGTTTGGTGCAAGAATTATTTGTTGGGTGCCCATACATAACTTTAAAGAAGCAGCCGTAACTGTATGTTTCACCTACGTAAGTGATATTTGCACGGAACGTGTATAACAAGTAGACTTAACAAAGTATCTCGGGGCTTTTGTCTTAAAAGCCACAAGAAGATGGCCATTTTTTATTTGGTGTTTCTTTTGTGTCATTTAATGGCTTCAGACAACTTTGGACATTGGAAGCTTGCAACATAAGAAAACATTTCTGTTCAAAATATGAACTTTCAAACTAGGAAGAATTTGAACTGAAAATGTTTTTACTTTAAAGAACTTCATCTGCGGTAGACATTATTGATAAAACAAATAAATTGATAAAATAATCTTTCGATAACATCTTATCGAGATGAGTGCAAAAAAAACCCAGCAGATTAACTTGCATGTTCATGGTGTGGTATTTCTGGGAAATAGGTGTGTGTGTGTGTGTGTGTGTGTGTGTGTGTGTGTGTGTGTGTGTGTGTGTGTGTGTGTGTGTGTGTTTGTGTCTGTGTGTGTGTGGTGTGTGTGTGTGTATGTGTGTGTGTGTGTGTGTGTGTGTGTTTGTGTCTGTGTGTGTGCATGCATGCGTGTGTGTGCGCGCATGTTTGTGTGTGTATGTGTGTGTGTTTGTGTCTGTCTGTGTGTGTGGGTGTGTGTGTGTGTGTGTGTGCATGCATGCGTGTGCGTGTGTGTGTGCGTGCATGTGTGTGTGTGTGTGTGTGTGTGTGTGTGTGTGTGTGTGTGTGTGTGTGTGTGCATGCATGCGTGTGCGTGTGTGTGTGTGTGTGTGTGTGCATGTGTGTGTGGTGTATAAGTAGCAGCTACAGAACTCACCCTGTCATGACGATCAGAGAAGACCTGAGTGGTAAGTTGCTTAAAAAACTCATTCACACTTTTTAAATTCCATTGTTAAGGTGACAGTGAATTTTTGTAAAAACAAAATGGCATGATTAAGTTTTAGTTTTGATATGGTTTAATGAGTTTATTAGGGCTCGGGCACCAACAAAGTAGGAGCATAGGATTATTGAAATCCTTTAAGTTATTATTATTATTATTATTAGCATAATAAATTGCATTTTAAAGGGCCTTGGTGTCCTTAACCTGTTTTTGTTCTTTTAAAGTACATTCAGATTGAACATAGTAAAACAAATGAAATTATAATGTCCGTAAAAAAATAAACATGACTTATAGTGAAAACCACCCTTGAATGATGGGATAGTGACTAAAAGCTTTAGGAATCCAAACTATAACATATAATAAGTACCCTGTATCAAGATTGATGCAAAACAAGTGCAATTTGACCTTTTTTAGAGAGGTTTAGCAACAAAAAAAACACCTCTGGGGTCATTTGGGTGGATTTGCCATATCTCTGGAACCCATTGGTCGATTTTGGTGATTAACATCTCTTTTGAACCGTTAGAGCCAATAGAATCGAGGGGGTTCCTAAATCCATCTAAACATAACCATTGAGGAGTGAGAGTGATGCGCACCCAGTTTGCCCAAACCGAAAGCTATGTTACGCTTTATATGAAAACTTGGTTTATTGCCATAAATGTTGTGATGGATTATCAGTAATCATTTCAAAGTGACACAGAGACATTGGATTAACCTTCAGCAGCGTTTAAATGCGTTGTAATGCCCTTGAACACAACCTTTGATCAGAAAACAGAAAAGGTACATATTTGCGTTTTGGCCCCGTAAAGTGAAGTTGTGTGTTGTCTTTGCTGGCTTTCCCTGCGGCGAGCTTTGGTTGCACAGTGATGAGCATGATACCATTGGAATCTGTGGAATCTCAGCTTTCATATGATATCAAGTATGTGCAGATTGCATGAAGTATAGAATATTGCTACCTTGAGATATGTGCTAAGTGCGTTAGCACTCTTTTGCTTAGTGTGTTAGAGTTGTGTTTTGTTTAGGTACAAATTGTTCATATCGTCAGTTAGCTGAGTTTCTTCCTGTTAAGTGGGTATGACACAGTAATAGGTTGTTAAATGTTAAGAAGCCCTGAGGCACAGTTTTGTGAATATTGTTGTGTTTTGCCCCCGCCGGCGGCGGCATGGGGTTTAACAGGTTAAAAGCTGGATTTGATTGGCACACTTGTCAGGACTGGGATATTTAAGGGGTCTTGATCTCACGCGATGGCAAAAAGACTCTATAGCGGCCCATAAAATGATGCTACAAATCAGCCCCTCCTTGTTCTTTGACCTACAGATATGACATTTGGTAGGAATATGTAGCATGGGGAAACGTTCAAAGAAGCCCCAGGGTGTCATATCATTAACCCAACAGGAAGTCAGTCGTTTTGAATTTCATGTGCAATTTCTGACCATATTTTAAACTTTCGCGTGCTATATTTGAACAAATGTTATCCAATCAACTATCGTTACATTTTGGCAGGTACCATCTTAAGACCTTGTGGATCAAAACATATCAAAAGCTTTACTCTACATCGAACGCCCTCCCCACGGTGTGGCGGTTAAAAGTGCAGGAAGTTGCGGTTAGTAGAGCAAACATTCTTTAATATGCTCCAGATTTCTCATGGATGATAAGAGTCCAGGCATGAAGACATCTACACGTTAATATTGACGTATATACATAGTGCTATCACAGTTGATTATTCAGACCTCTCAAAAATGTTGTCTTAATAGCATCATGGGGAAAGCTTTATAGTTACATTTGTGCGTTAGCGTAGAACCCCTCTACATTGTCAAACTTCAATCAGTCCCGCCCTGGAGACATCTATACAGAAATCTTTAATCATAGTGTCACAGCAGGAAGTTACTGTTGCTAGACTTTGGCTTACAGCTCTTGGCAGGTAAACTAGATCACCTTCATATTTAGTCAGCTCAATGTTAAGATATTCCCCTTGGCAGACTGCGAAGCTTGTGCGCTTTTTTGGAACGCCAGATGAGAGTCCCAGTCTGAGGACTTTCAAAGGTCGACATCAGGTCAGAGTCATAGTGCCACTGACTGGCAACACAAAGTCAGCATAAAGAACATCATCTGATTTACATTTCAATTTGTGTTCTACACGATGCTCTTTGTTAAAAGTGTATTATCTAGATTCTAGCGCCACATAGTGGACAGCGGAGGTGGAGGACTTACAATATGTCATTTTCAGTGCATTAAACTCAATGCAATAGGTAGGGTGGGGTTATGCGAAAGTATTTTATTTAGTACATGTAGTGTGATGTGCAGACTACGATATACAAATAATATAATAAGAAACAGTTTTTAATTAACTAATCATATTAAATAAATACTTAGTTATTACAATCTATTGACATGTGAAAAACACAGACACAGGAGAATGGATGACTGACTGTTGAACTTTAAAATATAAATACATAGAAGTAAAACTTTGTATTTGCTTTATTTTAGGAATTTGGAGTCCAAAGCGGCATGTTGAAATATCAGCAGCTGGGTTCAAACTGAGACGGGACTGAGAACGGCCAACGGCCAACAGAGGTTTGTTGGAATTCATTGTCAGTAACAGTTTTTTGTATTTAATACTAGTTTTTCAGGGAAATAAATGTTTTCACAACTTCCCATGAAAATAATGACCTTATCATGTTATAGATAGTAAATGTACTCATTAAATACATTAAAACAGCAACTATTGATTGGCAAAATAATTCAAGTAATATTAAAATGGAAAGCATTTATTAAAGTTTGACATTAAGTCCTTCTATAAAACTGTCCACACAGAACTTTTATCCTAAAGAACACGGTGACTGCTGGACCATATGATGTGGCAGTATTAAATATACTGGTGAAATGTCATTTATTATTCTGACAAAACTGCATCCACTTTGCTTCTGGCACTCCTGCAAGCCAGCTGATAATAATAATAATAATAAATGACATGTTACTTCAATTTAACTTTTTTTTATGCCTGGAGATTTAGGTTATTAACAGTGTTCTTTTGGGTTCCTATCTTTAATGATACCCTTTCATAGCTAAACACGTCAATCAAACAACAACAAAAAGGGATTTTGCACTCATTATAAACATAATAAATCAATTCATTAAATAAGATCAAACATCTACAGTTTATTCAGATGTGGAAAAACCTTTGAAAAAACTAAAACTTTTAATTGGAGTTTCAGATACATTTGAGTCTAAACCACTGTCCACATGCAGGACTTCTGTCTTACACACAACACGGTTACTTCTGTAACACGATATGGAGCTGAACTGTAATAAACACCCTGCTGAAATATTCATGTTTTTTTTTAACAAAATTGCATTCGCTCTGCTCCCCTTCCATGGAGAAACTTGTCGACCAGAAAACAGATGAAAAAAGGATCTCAGACTGATGCTTTCCAAAGAGCCGTACAAAGACAGGAATGGCATTATATAAATAAATAAAAAAACAAAAGAGCTATGCACTGCAACAAATACACATAACATCGCTATCATAACAGAGGCAAAAGGACACAATTTGCTAATGTGACCAGCCCCACCGGGGAGGGGGGGCTGCGATAATAAAAGGGGGTTAGGATACTTAACGCTAACCTGGGTTCCCCAATACGAGCCCTTAGGACAAGTCACGCAGATAAGAATAAAAGGATGGACAGGGACGCGGCCTCAAGTTCAAATGTTTACAAACGTTTATTATATAAATAATCAAGTAAAAGTTCAGTAACATAAAATGCAGATTACAACTTATTCAGCTTTCCCAGTCGACACACCTAAGTCCCACGATTGAAGGCTGGCTCTGACAAGGAGAGAATAACTCGAATAATTACAATATCACAAATATAGTGATAGTTAAAAAGTGATTATTCTGGCCAACTGCTGAGGGTTTCCCCAAAACCACAATATCACCACGTGTAGCTGTATTCGATCAACACTCACTGCAAATCACCCATATCTGCATGCAAAAAGTGCCCAGCAAACCACATGCTCCACTCCACAGTATGGCCAGGATCGTCACTGAAGAAGTATAAGCACAGAGACAGTATTAGACCTTGTGGGACAGGGTGGGTCGTTACAAGGAGGGTGCTGTAGCTTTAAAGATTGAAATCACTAGTTTGTACACAATACAACAAACTAGTCAATAAGCAAAACATAGAAGGTAGGCAAAACGGTAGCAAACTAATCCTCTGATGCAAACGCATTCACTCAATCATCACCTCACTGGACACCTCCGCAACGGTGATTCTCTACAGTCTCTGCTGGGGCTGTCAAGAAGCCTGGCGTTTACAGACCACATGTTAACAATTTAGTGGTACACTGAATGTTACAAGTAGTGATGGCAGTTTGACACTGAAGCTTCGAACGGAGCTTCAACCCTGGACTTCCTATTCCATAGAAGCAGTGCTTCGAAGCTTGCTTCAAATCACGTGACATATGACGTCCGAAGCAGCAACTGCTTCTTTTCCTGAATGAATCAACTGACTGGTTCACGGTCCATTCACGCGATTCAATGCACTGCCTCGTCTCGATTCTGACAGGTGACAGGTTGAAACAGTTTCAAACTTGAGTGCTTCAACACTTTATGACCGCTCTAAACAATGCGCAATGTGTGGGTTGTTGTCGTACTTTGCGTTGTTGCTGTTGAGTTGTTGTTGTTGTTATTGCATTTGATATCATTATAAAGCAAGACAGGAAGTAAGATAGGTCGTTCTGGGAAACACTTCGAAATGTGGAGAAGTTGTGAACAAAAAGACAATTATCAGTAATATGAAAACAGTTAAATATTTCAAGGAATAGATAGCCCAGTGGGTAGAGCCGGCGGCGATGTCCTCCGCGCAGCGATGTCCTCCACGCAGCTGGTTCAAATCCCGGAATGGACGTATTTTAATCATTGCTTTTCAACTTTAATAACTAATAAAAGGCCCTCTCCGCCCAAAAACATGTCTAGCACTCTCTAGTCTCTTCTCAATAACCCAATATAATAACCCAATACACACAATTATCAATCTTTAATTGCAAATAGAACATGATATTCAGTCTTTGTGTGTGTGTGCATCGAATATTTTTCAAGGCAAAGATACGTTAAACCCACTGCAGCCTTGCACTTCGCCAGGAGAGGTCGCTGTAACTGAAGCTTCGAGAAATGAACCTATTTCCGACACAATTGTCCAAGTGGTTTGACGCTTCATTAAAAGCTTCATTTTGCCATCACTAGTTACAAGTCCTAACAGCAGCTTCACATACCTCGTATAGGGGGAATACACGCCTCATAATAGTCACAGCTGATTTGGGTGAGGAGTGAGTGGGCATTTAAAGTGTGGCTGGAGATGCTGAACTACGTACAGCTGCGGCGTTTTCCTTATATGGAAGGGCCAGCTGACTAAAGAAGGGGGGAGGGTCTTAAAGGGCCAGTGGCGGCCCAGCCACATGAATAAATTATCTGACAGCTAATCTAGAAAACAGTTTACTTTATTTGAAAAGGCACAACATTCAAAAAACTTTAGAATTTCATGTCAGGACCATAAGGAAACTAATACATAATCTTTAACATAATATCTAAGACATCTTTGCCAGGTTTTAAAGTTCACAATTGGTAATGAAAATGTTTAAATGTAATTATCAGAGAGGGCTTAAAGGTCCCCTGTCATGCAAAATGCACTTTTAGATGTCTTTTCTACATCACCATGTGTCCCCGGTGTGTAAGGAGACTCACAAAGTGTCCGGAAATAAAACCCTGAGCTGATCCAGATTTGCTGCTGTCATGACATAATATCGGAAATGTGGGCGGGCTGTTTGGTATTTTGAGCAAAAGCCTTCAGAGACACATTCAGTATAGCTTTAATGGCTTATTTGTAAGCAGGTTTAACATGTATATTATGCTTTATACATAGATTGGTTTGCCATTTTTGTAAAGACCGATTTAAAAGACAATTATTTGGGATGAGCTCTAACTACTCTTACTATTGCATTTGTAATCAATAGAAACTATTCAAAAATGTAGATTAGAAAGATTTTCCTTATTCAAATAGTTGTTGCTTCTTGAGATCATATAAGTGCCCTACATAAATGTCATATTAGTCATAGAAAAATGTTCCTGTATTTTTTTTCATCATGCACAAGTAGCAAAAGGGAACACATAATAGTGCTTCAGTTGAGTGCTACATCCTATACATTTTCATTTTGTACATGTCGTCTTTTACAGATGTGGATCTGAGAGCACTCCATTCACTTGAAGAGCAGAAGACACACTGTTGTTGCACAGACCACAAGTCTAAAAGGTTTTCTGATTAGAATGAACTAGTACCTATTTGGAGGCCAGGTCCAGGTATCACCTGATTTTAAATTCATTACTTCAAAAACAAAATAATGTCTGGATTGTTGTCCAAACAGCTTGCTCTTCTTTCAATACAAAGCAAATTGATAAAATCAGAGACAGGGCCTTCTGTTTACATAATTCCACAGCAAGAACAACAAATCGATGAAAAAGGGTGCAAGAAATTCAGTTTTGGGAAAGAGTCCAAAACTGTTAAAACTAATCGCACCGTAATGGTTCTCGGAGCAACTGGGGCTGGGAAGTCAACTCTCATCAATGGGATGGTCAACTACATTCTAGGTATTGAATGGGAGGATCCATATCGCTTTAAGTTAGTTGATGAGGATCAGTCGAGATCTCAAGCTGAGAGCCAGACCTCTGAAGTCACTGTGTACAAAATCAACCACCAAGATAGCTTTAAAATCCCCAGCTCTCTGACCATTGTTGATACTCCAGGCTTTGGAGACACAAGAGGAATACAAAGAGACAAGGAGATCACAGAACAGATACGTAGTCTCTTCTCTGCCAAGCATGGCGTAACTGAAATTGACGCTGTGTGTTTTGTAGTTCAGGCTTCTTTAGCTCGTCTCACAGCAACACAGCAGTATGTGTTTGATTCTGTGCTCTCAATCTTTGGCAAAGATGTGGCAGAAAACATCCAGGTTCTGGTGACATTCGCAGACGGCCAACGCCCACCAGTTCTAGGGGCGATCAATGCTTCTGGCGCCCCATGTCCTAAAACAAAAGACGGGCTGCCAGTTCACTTCAAATTCAATAATTCTGCCTTGTTTGCACAGAACCAATCATCTGCTGAGGAAGATGGAGGCTTTAGCAAGATGTTCTGGGACATGGGGAAAAGAAGCATGAAGAAGTTCTTTGTTGGTTTGGATAAGCTAACACCCATAAGCTTGACAATGACAAAGGAAGTCCTCAGAGAAAGAAAGCAGCTCCAGATCTCAATTGAAAGTGTGCAGAAGCAGGTTAAAGTAGGGTTAGCCAAGATTGAGGAGATAAAAGAGACAACTGAACAACTTAAATTGCATGAAGCAGACATCAACAGAAATGAGAAATTTGAGTTTGAAGTAGTCTTCATGAAGCCTTTTCAAGAAGATATATCTGGCACTGGAGGCTTCCTCACCAACTGTCAGGTGTGTCATTTCACCTGTCACGAGGCATGTGCCTATGCCAATGATGCAGATAAAATAAAGTGTTCTGCAATGGGACCAGATGGAAACTGTACTCAGTGTCCAGGCAGATGTCATTGGAGTCAACATTTTAACCAGAAGTACAGATGGGAGTATAGGGAGGTTACAGTAAAGCAAACAGTGCAGGAGCAGAAAGCAAAGTACATGAAGGCCTCAAAGGCTAAGGGAACTGTTCAGGAAGTGATCGCCCATATGAAGGCTGAAAATCAGCGTCTTCAGGCTGAAGTGAGGAAGATGATGAAGAGGGCTGTCGAGTCTCTAAACAGACTAGGAGAGATCGCACTGAAGCCAAATCCTCTCTCCACTCCAGAGTACATTGACCTGCTGATTGAGGGAGAGAAAGCTGAGGCCAAGTCAGGCTGGAGTAAACGAGTCGAGCACCTGCTGGAGGTGAGAGGACAAGCAGAGCTCATGGCTAAAGTAGGCAGAGGAGGAAACTTTCTTTAAAGCCAGGAACCTCTAACCCAGGGAGAATTAAGACCAGTGCCAACTTAGACCAAGACAAGAGTTGAAAATAATATCAAGTTTAAGAAGATATTTAACCCGATGATACTGATCCTTACTTTTTAGTGACTTAATAACCAAGGGATGATACCAATCATGGTCCTTGTCAATTTTTCTTTGCTTACAAGTTGTTTTTTAACTTTTTTTTTCAAAGTAATGTTGTTCAAGCCATGTCAATAAAATGGAAAGAGTTTGAAGCCAAATCTTTCCTCCAATCAGAGTCCATTGCTTGCTGAATGAGAGAAGCCTGAGGCTAAGCAAGGTTGGGCTCAAAGAGTTCAGTACCTGCTAATCATGAGAGAAAAACTATGAGTCTCGACACTTGAAAATTAAAATTCAATAACTTTGCCAATGTTTTTTCTATGTTTAAACAATTGTATTTTCAGGTTCACCAAACAGGAGATAACAGATTAACCCTCTTTGTGGGAACACATTTTATGCATGTACTGTTTGGTTTGCACTTTTGTTTCCTGTTATGATCATTTACATATTTCATGTATGCAGTTTACATTGCTCAATAAATTACATTTAGCTGACGATTTTATCCAAAGCGACTTATCATGCAATGTTTTAAAAAAAGATTTGTAGCTTATTGTTTTGTATCTTCTCTTCAGGTGTATATATATGTTAAATATACTTAATGTGAACACTTTTAAACAATTATACTGATGTTTACTGAATTGCATGTTATTGTCCTGTAGTAATTAGGTGAGACATGAAGAAATTATGAAGTGATTAAAAAATATATTGTATCGTCCTTGAAGAGTTGTGTGTTTTTGTATCAATAATCTCCTACAGCTAACTTTCACTGCTGGCATCAACTTCCACATGATCTTTAGTTTCTCAAATAGTCCCTCTTTCGACTACACTAGACTTTATGTGTCACGATTTTTAAAAACTAATTTAATGACCGAGTATAGACCCAATATATATATATATATATATAGCTAGTGGCGCTGGTTAACCTGGTTGATATATTTAATGTATATTACATATTATATTCAATATAACAAATGCATAAAAATAATGGCACAAACAAATGAAAAACTACAATTTAATAGTTACAAAATATAAAAGGCAAATATATAAACATATTATGAGAACGAAAACATAATATAATGGAACGTAACATCTCAATATATGTTGCCCGATGTGTGTACATACACAGGACATTTCAATACACACAAATTCCCATTTGGTTTTCCACATGAATTCTTTATTTTGTTAGCTACATATATTCTGGGATTTACCAATGTCTTATTTTGGCTTACCTCTCTTACCTAGGTCAGGTCACTTTTTAAGAGTGGTAGATCAGACTTACTAGGATGAGATAAAATGTCTTGTTTTTAAAGTCCAACAGTTCTTGTTTAACAGAGAATCCCTTAAATAACATTAAAAAAACATTGAATATCATATTTACATTTATATTATTAAATGGTTAAAGAGTATGCACATAAATTTCATTTAGGCCATAAGAAACCCTGAGTGGCCTACACATAGCTCTGAGATGCTTTGTTATTTTCCTGTAACATCAATACTGACGCTTTGGAAAATCACATGCTCACTTTAATAAATACCTCTATTTCACTATTGCTGAACTTCTTGATACCGACTTTACTAATAATTAACAATTTATGATAAAGTGGATTGATCACTCAGGACAGTTGGCTACGGGCAGATGTAGATGGTTATGAATGTTTGGTGCATTTAGAGTCGACTTCTTCGCATTATAATTATTTCTCTTGAAGATTAAGAGCAACTAATTGTATTTGACAGAAAGTAGCTGAATGACACCAAATATACTTACAGCTAAAAACACAAGGACAACAAAGATGAGCAAGGTAAACATGTCACCAAGTCAGGGGTCTTCTGTTTACTCAATATTAAAAAGGGGGCCTCCAAGAAACAGTTTGGGAACGAGTGCATTAAAAGACTTATCTGAGTATACACTCTGTCCACAGGGTGGCAGCACAACCTTTGCTATAATGATATTTTAAAAAGCCTCCATCAAGAAGGTGGTGGACAGTCAAACATAAATTAAATAAGCTTTTTGTCATGTTTGGGAATATAGCTTTTCACAAGATTACAAAAAAATCAACGCTATTTTATGACGCAACATTTTTTTTAAACCCATAGTCTCATATTTTGTGAATTGCAAGTCACTAATGGTGCAGCTGATGCTTTTGGAATGCATATTTCAATGTAATGAATTTAATGCCTAAATGTGAAAATATAATAAAAGATACAACTTATTTAGAGTATTGACATTTTTTTACTTTGGGAACATAATAGGTGGATTGTCTGTATTTAGAATTCTCCAATTCAAGTTATTAGTCAGGAATTTAAACTTTAGAAATGTCCGAGGAAGTCTCTATTTAAATAATTTCAACCATTCTTTGCTTTGAATGTAAGTCTTTGAATTCCAACAGTGTTGTACTTACCAATGTTAACACCTGCAGAAACCTCTTTCCCTCCTTGTGATGTGTTTTTGAATCTGCTGCTGTCAGAGACAGGAAATACACTTTGAAACCAGTCTCTTCCAGGAGTGTGCAGACTTCACTGACCTGACTGCTGTGTTGATCAAAGAAAAGTGTTTCTTAAATATTATATATTGCAATGTTTGCTTTCCAATATCCTCTCTATTCTGTATGAATTTGAATGTGCACATATTAAAATAAATACTTAAAGGAGCTGAATGATTCCTCTCAATTTCAAAGCCCATCACTGAGGTTCCAAACTTACCAGAGTTATTGTTCAGTTCAGACTGCAGCTGGAGAAGATGGATGAGTTCGTTTTTTAGTATATTGTATAGCAATATTACTTATTTATTGTAATTTTCCACAATTGCCCATCATACCATAATTTCAAGCAAAAAGAGACAAGTAATCCTCTAAGTGAGGATACCACTGATATGAAAAGAAAAATGTGATGACACACTACTTTACTTTCCCATGGTGGCCTTTAGAAGAAGTACTTTAATGGGCTATTTCAATATCAATAACATTCAAGTGTAAACATGTGCTTTCTTTGGCTAGCTATTCTCTTTATTTTGTTTCAATAACTAGATTTCAAAGCAGAAAGAGCTCACTTCACTCAATTCATTTCAATTACAAAGTGTTGTAAAGACTAAGGAGATAGAGCCACATTTACCAGCTAATATTTGTGAGCAAATACTTAAGTTAAATATACATTTATAAATTATGCAATGTTAACTAGCTTTAATTAGCTTAGATGAATGTCCCTCCTGCAAAGAGATGAGTTTTCAGTCTCCCCCGGAATATGGCGTTATATTTGTGCCTCTATCCTGAGCACGCAATGAAACATGTGGAGCATAGAAAATGCTATTGAGCGCGCACTTGAACATTTTTGAGCACAGAGAAATATATGTTCTCTCATAGAACTCCTGCTCCGTGCGCAAGCAGACCGCTGCACGCGCTCTCTCTCCCCCGCTCGCTCGACCTCTCCAGCCTCCACATGTGCCACAAAACCAACCAATCGGAGAACTCGAGAAGGTCAATTCTGATTGGCTGGTCCAGCGCCATGTCGAGAGAAGAGTTGCTACAGCGGAAGTCCAAAATGCTTGATCATCACGTGGTTCAGAGAGACTCAGAAAGTTCCCGGAAGTTCGTGGCGGGCCATTTGAATCACGATTTGAATGCATTAATAACAGGATAGAAATGCAATTTTTGGTAATTAGTGGTCAATAAAGGTTTTGATTTGCAATATGTATACAACATATCGATATGTGTATGTAGTTACATCAATGTGTTGTTTTTTTTTTAAGTAAAATGTGCTAATATTTGAGGATTAAGATCAAATAAGAAGTTCTTTATTGATACCAATTGGGGAAATGTTTACGCTGCAGCAGAAAAAGACAAGGAGGCATTGTACATTAGACAGTTAAAAGACTAGAATTAAACAATCGAAAATGTAAACATCTTAAATAGAAATAACATAGCATTACAACGTAGAAAATATACATAGTGTGAACAGCTATTTTACCTGTTAACATATACATGTTAGGCTAACGTTGCCTTGGTTAAAGAGCCTGTTGTTTATTGCTTTGAATTCTTTAAAACAAATATTATCTTCTTAAACCTGTATGGTAGTCAGGAGCATCACATCCTAATGTCATTGTTATATTTAGAGGGAGGGAAGGTTTCAAAATTCTGATTAGAATAATTTCTACCATTTCTTTAATTCATGGTGGTTTCAGTAATCCCCTGGTAATTGAGGACACAAGTAATCTAAAGTACTAATGTAATCTTTATGACTTTCAGAAAGGACAGGAGACCCACAGGTGCCTATATCAATGATTGTCAACTGACAGCACAATGAGTCAAAGGACTAGCAGCAGCATGATGATGATGATGATGTTAAATGTGTTGCTTTAGGAACATCCATTGTAAATAAATGGAATTCAATAAACATTGAATAGCATATCATGCAGTTTGTCTGTGCCTTTTCCTCTGTGTTGTCTGGCATATAGTCTCCCCCATGGTTTGCTGTGCTGCCGGGGGATGCTCCAAGCGCTCAGAGAAAAGAGTACACATGGAAAATTTCCCCACTGACACAGAGAGGAGGAAAGAATGGCTGGCTCAAGTCAGCAGGAGCAATTTAACTATCACAAAAGACAACAACAGCAACAACATATGTGAGGTAATCATATTTTTCACAAAACGAAGACCACATCATTGGGAAGCTTAACGTCTGTTTAATCAAAAATAAAGAACAGGGAGAGGCTTGCTAAACTCTGGGAGTTGAGACTCAGGTGCAGGGTGAGGGTCTCAGTGCAGGTCTTCAGGCTCCATTGAATCCCCGTGGGGTTCTTGTGCTGAAAGAGGGAGACAGGAGAAAGGATTAGATACATCTAGCAACCTATAGGATGGGAAATTGTTGACCTATTTTAAACGTACCTTGTGTTTTCACTCTCACTTAAGTCCCTCTCCCTTTGCCATCAATCCAACATCAGCTGAGCTGCAACATAATACAGACAGGTAATAATCAACATAATCACAAGGACATTATATGGCTCTGCTAAAAACACTCACCAATCAGTTACGTTTTAGTTTACTGTTTAGAAGTCTCAAATATCCACTCTAAATCCATATCAATAGCGATGTATCACACAAATAGCTCTCTTCCTTATTATTGTGTAACGTTAACTATATTATACTAGCTGGAACTCCACCCACTACAATCACACGCCCCAATGTTAACTCATATGTAACTCCCTCCACCCCGGATAGAAGCACGTTAAGAAGCCCCTTTTCTCTAATTCCACAACGTTGGAAGAAATAACATTAAGAGAACGGATTAATAGGCTGTTCATGGTTAACGTGTGTTGCTAACTTTAGCCGGTATCCTAGCCTCATCTGTCCGGTTGAAAATTAACGCAAGCATATGCCCATTGTAGAACAGGAAACAGAAGTTGGTCCAGGTTCTGGTCAACCCAACATTGTGATAGAGAGAGAAACATGTTTTGTCATTCTGCCACCTCTAATGCTTACAGCAAGTAATCAATACCTCAGAAGGGGTCATGTACATGTTGGCTACGGTTTGTTAGCGGTTTGCTTAAACTACCCTATAGCTATGATGCCGGCTAGCAAACTCAGGCATTGCAAACAATAACGTGATATCAGAAAACTAGAAATGTATAACTCACCTGACACTGTGGCTATTCTCTTCATTCGAGTCTAAATGTCCTGTAAATGTCAACGATAGATGTGTAATAAGAACATCAACAGCCTGATGGCA